CACACTCTTCCGGGTTCTACTGGGCTTCGCTCTCGCTCTCGCTCTCTCTTTCGCTCATCTACACTCCCTCTCTCCCTCTCTGTTAATGTTTTGGAGTTTTCATTTGATTGCACCTGCAGACTGCGAGCGCCAGCCACAATTTCTAATTTTTGTTTTATGTTTGACTCTCTGTCTCCTCCCGCTCCTCCCCTTTGGAGTTGTTTTGAATATGCAGCAGGGTGGGTGGAGGGAGGGGAAATGCAACGCTGCCTCGTGTTTAATGAATCAAAGAGAATAGAGAAGTCGCAAATCGGGCGGCAAAGACGCATGGCTAGGCAGGGGGTCAATGGGGGGAAGGAGGTGTGCAACGTCTGGCGTGGCCAGCTGGGCTGTCACGAACACGGGTTTGGCTCTGACTATTGGGTAATAACAACAACAACAACAACAACGACTGAACACCAACAACTACAACAACAAACCAAGCAGGAAGAAGCGACCAACTGAATCGCTGCGCTTTTTGAAGTTACTCTTGTTATTGTTGTTGCTGCTGCTATTGCTTGTTGTTATTGTTTCTGATATTGTTGTTGTTGCCCACTAACATAAACTATAAACAATTTTTCGGCGGCTTCTCAGTCAACGGCAACGGCACGCAAAAGTTTCGTTTTGCATCTGTTGAAAGTCGAAGATTGAGCAACCGAAGGCAAATTGCAAAACACGAGGCAAAACAAAACAAAAAAAAAAAAAAAAAAAAAAAACAGAACTGCGTTGAAGTCGTCCCGTCCCAACTTATATAGAATCATAAACTGTGCCACAGATTACACCGTGCAACATGCAACACACAGCAAATCCATCAAGCAAAGCACGCCTAACCCTGTTTCTAAAAATTCACAAAACAAAAAATAACTAATCAGCCGTAACAAAATTTATTAGTCGTTGTTTTGAGAAATTCCCCAACTGAATATATACATACATACGTATATATATATATATATATATATTATATATACTCTAAACTAAAATACTCCATGCTCGCTCAAGTGTATTCGAACTGTTTGTCTGATAATCAGTTTTGGTATATATATTTATATACATATCTATTTATACAGATACAGATAAATGAAAATAAATAATTCATTTCAGCCAGTTTGTGTTTACCAGCACAAATTATTGTATTTTATAAGCCTAACAAGAGAGGTTTCTTCACTTGACTTAAAAGGTCTCGAGGCTTTTTAAAGTTTTATTTGGCAAACTTTTGTAATTTACAATGAAGTTGTCAAAGAAAGTTATTACAGCGAAGAATAGATTAGATTGACAATCATTATCTTGATCAATCAAGATTAAGGCATACTTCAGATGTTGTATTAAGTACGTTTAATTTGATTAGTAAGACTACACTTTTTTACCAATGAAATCGCTTTCAAATCATGTATGATGGATTTAGTTTATAAACTATAATTGAACTATTTTAACGAAACCCGCATGAATTCCAATATGATACAACATAAGAAAATATATACACATATATTTCGTTGAAATACTCAAAGATGACTTAATTTCAAAAAGTGAATCTCGAAAGAAATGCTCCAATTGCTGTAAATCAAAAGCGGGTTGCACAGTGTGTGTTGTTTATTTAGCTGTTGTTGATTTAGACCAAAAAGAAAGAAGAAAAAAGCATGAAAAGAAAAGAGAAGAAAAGAGAAGTCCGCAAAAAGTTCTGTTGCTTTTTAGTTTAGTTTTCTTAAGCTGCTGAGGGCGGATCGTTCATTGGCCCTGCTACGCTATAACTCGTCGGATCATATTGGAATTGGATGACTAGTGTTTTCCTCTATCTGAGTCTAACTGTCTCACCTTCTGTCTGTCTGTCTGGGTGTGTGTGTGTCTATTTGGTTTCATTAACAGCACATTGCTGGGGCAATTACGCCAACAGCCGAATTTGTCTTTCGTATGGCAGAGAAAGTCTTTGGTTCGCTTCATTTTTCTTTTAATGCTCGGCAAGAAAAATAAAACTCTTTATGACATATACTTTATGTGTACATACACACATTTACATACAGAGAGATAGATATAAACATACATATATACTTTTCACAACCAATGCGCACATATAACTAACTATATTATCACAGTAACAATAATGGGAAGCCCACTTCACGCTTGGAGGGATTCCTGCATTATTTTTATTTTTGTAACTTTTTGCTTTAAAGGCATGCGCCACATGACACTCTGCCAAAAGGCGTCGAGAGGGGAGGAGCAGGCGGAGTCGGAGGTGGAACTGGAGCTGGAGCTGGAGTTGGGCAGAGATATGTGAGAGCCACAGTCTACAGTTTGACCATTGACCGACTAGACTTGCAAAGTAATCATCATATAAACAAAAGCAACTACAACAGAACGCAGCGAAAATAGAAACTGTCTGGCAAGTATTTAAAATGTCGACCAAACGAGGGCAGGGGCAGGGGCCAGAGACGGCGTCTTGTCTCGGCTGAGAGCCGCGCTGATTGTCAAACAAAACTAAACGAAACTAAACAAGGAGAACCTTCAAGCAACATATTCTTGAAATGCAATGCCCCAAATCCTTTTGTGCGACGTAAACTGAGCCTCAACACAAAAGCCAAACAGTAAAAACCATTTAGTCTCAAGTTCTCAGGGTTCTCTGGCAGCTGCTTGGCTTTGCTATGCTTGGCTCCACTCTAACATTTAGCTGAGATTTGACCTTGAAATTGGCAATCAAAAAAAGCAAAGTCAAAGCTAATTTATGTGCATAAATATCATCATAAACAAAACGTTGACAAGATTTTTTTTATCGCTACATGTTTTTATCGAAGAGCAGTTTGCCTCAGAAGGAAACCGGAAAGGGGTGGGGCGGGGAAGGGTGAGCAGGAGGAGGAGAGGAGTGCGGTTTCGAACTGTGCAAAATTCGCACAGTCTCAAAACAAGTTCAAGTTTCAATGGCACTTTTTATCACACTTAATTTGCTTGTGATTATCAAAGCAGCTGGCAGCAAAGGGTGTGGAGAAAACTGGAATACAATTCAAGTAAGTATTTGTACATACAATTGTGGGTAATCGTTCATTCATATATATTCATGTACCGACATGTATTTATAAGACCTGTTATCGGCTCAGATAAGGCAACAGGCCACCCATTAGAATGCAGCCAGAAGTGGAACAAAAAAAGAAAGCAAACAAAATAAGGCTGGCAAATTTTCGGCTGATAAGATCGATTTATTTAGAAAATGAGAATGTGTCAGGGGAAATTTGGTGCTTTGCAAATACATTGAAAACATTAATTAATGTCGGAAAACATAAACAAGTCTTAAGCCAACCTGTTAATAATTGTAAATGGTTATTTCTGTTTTTTTTTGTATTTTTAGGTTGCGTTTTGCGTTTTTTGCGTAGCTTTAAAAAGTCATAAATAAGCTGCAGCTTAATCAAACGTAGTAAGAAAAATTTATGGACTTTTTATACTTTTAATTGACTTTGGCTTAAGGTTAGTAGTTTTAAGTACATCCCCATTGTTAACTAAGCAGCAAATTTGATTGTAAGCTCAACTCTCTAATCTTAGTTTTCACTTGGCACTAAGTTGACTCGGCGCCATTTAAGATTTTCTCTGTCAATTCGAACGACAAACGGATTAATGAAGCTAAATTGGTATTTTCCTCAAGTGGCTGCTGCAACTCTGCCGCCGTCGGAGTTGCCCCCAGCCACGCGTCCCTCGCCCACCACCCAGCCCAGCAGCAGGCGCCTCAAATTGGCGCGGATGCGTAATTAAAACGGTTCGCACATCCGTTCCTCATCATTAGCTCATGCGACGATCATTAGCTCAATATGAATATGCTGACCAAACACAAACGACAAAAACGTTCAATAATCGGGGCAAATGACTGACTAGCTGATTGATTGATTGATTGACTGAAATTGCACTCTTCCTGATTGCTGCCGTTTGCCTTGCGTCAAAATCGATTAACGCTCAAGTCATGCAACACAAAATGAGTTTTGACGCTGCATAAAAAATAAAGTCATATCGAACGTTCAGGAGGCCCTTCATCTTTTGTTTTTGCCACGAGCTGCTCCCCCTCACTCGCTTGACCTTTCAACTAGCCAAAAACCAACAGAAGAGGCCAAGTAAATATCAAAAACCATTAGGAGCGGCCCACAAGACGACAATGCGACAATGTGACGCCAGGCAAGTCGAAACGCGACCGCAAAGAGCAAATAACTAAGTAACTGAACAACTGAATAACCGAAACACCACCTCTGACCGACCGCCCACCAGCATGGAGACCCACACTCTCTCGGTCGCAGTCGCAATCCCCATCCCCATCCCCAATCCCAGTCGCTGCTTCAGCCTCTATCATATTCGATAACAACTTTCTACTCGCAGAAAAAATCAGCAAGACACAATTGAAAGACTGAACAATGCACTGTAACAAGTTAAATAACAACTCAAATAGGAGATTTTTTATTATTAGTTGCAGACAAGGATTTTCATCAAAATTAATCCAACATCACAAAAAAATACATATTTTTAAAAAGACCTGCGATAGAAATGTTCATCAGTAAGCCAACAAAATTATTTGGATGACTCTCTCCTTCCCCCTCTCTCTCTCTGTCTCTTAGCTTTTAGTTTTACAATTCCTAACGTTCAACAGTTTTTTGTCGGATCTGGTTTTTTCTGGATTTAGGCAATAAATGTTGAACCATTTTACATTTTAATATCCCCAGATTTATTGTATTCTTTAAATTTTTCTTTCTTTTTTTTTTTTTAATTTTAAATTTTACTCAAATTAAATTAGAGTTGTCAACTAACATTAAAATGTGAAAAAATCGACTTTTATGTAAACAATAAGTGGGCGTGGCCAACAGGTAATCTTAGCTCAAACTGTGAAGATCGTCAGTAATGCAAAAGTTTGCAATGAAAAGCGTTTCAATCATAAAAATGATTGGAATCAACTCAAAGTCAGCATTAGAGTTGCAAGCTCGCTTAAAAAAAGAAGAAAACAGTGTATTAAATTTGTTACTCACCCACAGAGAGCAGTAAGCAGCAATAGGAAAAACTGTGCCAGCGAAGACACTCAGTCAATTTGGTTTTTGTTGCTGCTGTTGTTGTCGATAGTTGCTGGTGCTGTATTTATTGTTGTTGTTGTTGTTGCTGTTGTTTTGATCGTGTTGGTGATTCCTGCAGTTGTTTTGCGCTGATAAAAATGTCAGAGGGTCCCCCAAGGCATATACACACACACACATACAAACATATAGAGTATAGTCACCCTTCTCTTTTGTGTGTTGATTTTGTGTGTTTGTTTTGGAGTTGAGAGCAGAGAACAGCAATGGATGTCTGTTAAAATTCTATTATTATTGCTCCCATAGCAGCAACAAAAAAAAAAAAGCCAGTAAATTTTGGATGGTAAATTGCGTTGTTGTTCGCGGACGGGCGGATTCTGAGCGATTTCGCGATTTGCGAACCGTTTATAAATTAGTGCAAATTGAATGCACAAATATTACACACACACGCACACTCTCAAATGGCCAGGTGAATGTTAATGGTAACGGGCATTGTTGCTGTTGCTGTTGTTGTTGTTGTGGCAGCTGCGCAGGCGACAGCTGGGCAGGATTTTAATTCAATGGCGCGCTTCACTGCTGCCAGCAGAACCTTTTGTCTGCCTTTGCAGCAGTTTATAATTATGTGCCTGTATTTGTAAAGGTCCTAGCACACACACACGCCACGCACACTCACACACACACACACAGAGACGTAGGCACATGCAGAAGACGCGTTTTAAACAGCGCGAAAAATCGATGGCTTGGACAATATTTCGTTGTTGTCTTAACAATTCACTGGAAAATAGTAACTAGCAGGCAGCACTAGCAGCAACAAAAACCATTTTAGATTGGACGGCACATCGATTAATTTGAAAACGTTGCACTTTTTATTTTGCTTCGCACGAATTCAAAGGCTTCAAAGGAAAACCCGTTCAGGCAAAAGCGCCGCAACGAACAGGACAATTCCGAAACGCGCCCGCCTGGGCCAACAACAGCGGCAAAACTGTTTACAGCATTGCGCTAGCAGACACTGCTAACAGTGCGTTCAATTAACAGCTAACAGCATGTTAAACAAACCGAAGCCGGGTAGCCGGTGAATAGTGTGGCTGCAAATTGCTCGAGCGAATATACCACAAATATGACGGTATGTTTTTGGCACTTATTATTGGGAAGTAAGTGCTGCCAATCACGCGAAATAATTTAAATATTTATACGTTTTTTGTAAGAAAATGAATTTTGTTTAAATTGTAGTTTTTACTTTACTTAATATGTTAATATATCAGTTAAATCCAATTAATTTCGATTCTAAATGTTTTTATTTACTTAATTGAACAAGATAAGACTGAAATTGCCTTTTGTAGTCACATTCCAGTTGTCAATTTCTTACATCCTTGTTGGGGATTTTATGCTTAAGTTAATAAAGTATAAACAATTTGAAGGAAGCGACTCCCACATCACGTAATACACTAATGCTCTAAGTGAGAAAAAGGGACGAAATACTTGAAACAACAAAAATTAAGTTAGGATAAAATTTAAAGAGAATTAAGCAAAATGTATAAGAAATAAACAAAACAAAAATTGAATATAATTGGAAAATACCCATAAATATTTACATACAATAGTTATTTTGATCCATTGCAAATTGCGTTGAAATTAATTGTTTAGCCATTTATTAGTTTTCGTACGATTTAGTTTTAGTTTAAGAGCTACATAAAAACCCGGGAGAATATCACTCGGAAACTCATAACTTATGAGATGTGCTTGGGGCCACTAGTGAAAAAATTCAACATAAATGCCGCAAGGGATACAAAGGGGGAAGTCGCTTAAAAACAAATTTATATATATACATATATAAATATATATATAATATATTAATAGTACATCGATAATATGCTCGTAATGGATTTGCTGGCTGCGATGAAGACGCTCGCCGAATGATCAATGACCGATAATCGACAATCGATAATCGAAGATCCCTTACTGCAGATATAGCCTATGGTAATCGTTGGCGCCAAAGGCGCAGTTGCATTTGGGACACTTGCGCTGCCGCGTCTCGTATCGGGTGCGCAGGCAGTCGTAGCAGAAGACATGAAAGCATTTGGATAGAACTGCATCCTTGCGCTTCACCTTGCATGAGGGACACGTCAGCGTCTCCTTGTATTCCCTAATCTCCTCGATCATCACCTCATCGATTGTTGTGCCCGACATTTCCATCTTCTTCATGCGCTCCGCCTTTCGCTTGAACTGCGCCAGCTCCTCCTGCAACCGTTTCGTTTTGTAGGCCTCCGCCTCTAGGGAGCTGGTCTTCTCGGCGACCACCTGTTGAGCCTCCTTCATTTGGGCATGATACTTCTCCAGATGCAGCTTGAGATCCGCCGCCGATTGGGCCGATTCGATTGCTTTGCGCTTGTGCATCTCCATCGCCTGTTGCCGGAGCATCAGCTCTTTCTCAATGGACGCGACGGTGGCCTGCAGGGTGCGCTCCTTTTCCTCCAGCTTGCGCAGTACAATATGCATCGCTTCGATCTGTGTCGATGCCGTCGCCATTTGATCCTCCAGCACCGTCTTCTCTTCGCGCAACAGTTTGTGCAGCTGATTGGCCTTAATCCGCTCCGACATCAGCTTAAAATTGGCATCGTCCTTTTCCCGCAGCTGTTGAATGAGCCGCGAGTTCTGCTCCTGCATATCCTCGAACGCCTGACCCGTCACCTCCATCTCGTTGAGCAGCGCCTCTTCCTCGTGTGAGCCAACAAAGGGTCGGTTATAATTGGCGCCAGGCTGTCCGCCACCTGGTCCTGGCGCACCGCTCCACGTATTCTCCGTGGGCTTGTGGTTGGCCACCTGTTTCTGCAACTCGTATTTTTGCTCCTCCAGCTGCTTGATCTTGCGCAGCGCCTCCTCGTCGGCCAGTTTTTTGCGCTCCTCTCGCTTGCTCTCCTGCAGCTTTTTCAGCTGTTGTCGCAGCTCCTCGATCTCGGACCGCAGTTTCTTTTCGGTCGCCATGAGCTGCACCTTGTCGCGCTGATCCTTCGAAACGCCTTTGTATGTCCAGCAGCAGCTTCATCTCCTTCTGATCGTTCAACGCTTTTCTGCAAATGGAAATTGCAAACAGTGAATTATTTTGTGTATTTTTCAATGGATTTTAATCGAGGATTTTGCCATAATTATTAATCCTTACTTGAGTTGCGCTTTCAGATCCCGTACCGTTTCACTTTCGGCGGCTTTCAGTTCCTTGGCCTTGATGCCATCCTTGGTGTCCTTCTCAGCCTTAACCGCATTTGTGCTGCCAGTTGTGGTCGCCGTTGATGCATTCGCCGGACCGGGTGAATCCTTTTTCTCAGCAGCTGCCGCTTCGCTGGACGAGAGCTTCTCCTGCTTGATGCTGGGATCCTTGACATCCTTGCCGCTCGCCTCATCGTCCAGTTCATCTTCGGCAATCGCTGAGTTCTCCTCCTTGATGGCCATGTTGGCATCGCCACTGGCACTCCCAGAATTAGTGAGACCCGTGGCGCCGCCCGCTGAGTTGTTGTTCGAATTCTCCTCCTTAATATTGGCAGCGGATTCCTGTTTAACTTCCTCGCCGGCCGCCGCTGCAGCCGCCTGCTGTTGCTGCTTGTTGCCCTCGAGTTTGGCCTGTGCCTCCTCCAGATCCTTGCGCATCTTGACCATGTCCGTGGAGATGTCCTTGTACTTGCGCTTGTATCGCTGCACCTCGCCCTTCAGCTGCCCGTTGTGATTCTGCAGCGAGGTGATCAGATGCCGCATCTCTCGATTTATCGGCGCCGTCTGCTCGTTGGCGGCCATATTCTGCTCGAATTCGATGCGCAGCGTTTCATATTCTTTGCGTATGAGCGCAAGGACATCCTCCATTTGGATCATGTCGCTGCGCACCTTCTTCTGGGCAATCAGCTCCTCGCTCTCCATCACCTCGATCTGGCGCAGATGCTGATTCTTGCTCGTCTGCAGCAGATTGCGTGTCTCATCCAACATGGTCTTGATCTGCATGGACTCGTTGTACAGCACCGAGAATTGCGACTGCAAGCATTTGTATTCCGTTGTCTCCACAATCACCGACTCGGGCAGTTGACGGATCTGCAAGACAGAGAGAGAGACTATAATTTACAAGAGTTAAGAAATATTAATTCTATTCATTGACTTACATCCATTTTAAGTTTCTCTACTTCTTTGAGGGTTTCGCGATGCGTGGCATGCAGTTTGTCCAGTTCCTGCAACCGATTGTTGGCCAGCTCGCGATGTTCCTCCAGCTCCTTTTGCAGCTCCTCCAGATGCTGACTATTTACATTGGTCGTTGCACTGCCGCCGCCGACGGTGGCGGTTCCAACAACTGAGCTGGACGTCTTGCTGGTGCTGTTGCTGCTGCTCTTGTTAGGATCTCCGTAGATCTGGTGATAAGCCTTGAGCTTCTCAATGGCCTCGGCCAAATGATTCTCCAGCTTATCGTTACGACAATGGATTTTCTCCAGATCATATTGCAACTCATCGATTTGGTTTTTCAGTTCAGCGTTCTCCGTCTCTTTGGCAGTGAGCGCGTCCTGGTATTCCTTCATCTTCAGTGACATCGTGTGGAATTTCTCGTGCAGCGACGTATTCAAATTTTGCAGCTTGTGATTCTCTGTCATAATCTCAATATGCGTTTTCTTTAGCGTCTCCTCGAGCGCATGGATGCCCCCCATACTCGCCGCTGACGCTGCATCCGCCTCAGCGCCGGCCTTGACTTTCTGCTCCTCATCTCCACCTCCTCCAGCAGCAGTTGTGCCCTGCGCCAAACTATCGCCACCTTTTAGAACAAGCGTTATCTTCTCATTCCGTTGCATTAACCTATCAATGACTTGAACGATTTTGGCCACGGCACGCTTCGACACCTGCACCCGATTGGCCAGCTTCTCGTCCAGTTCCTCCTTGTCCCAGGTGGATAGCTGGGTGAGAAACGATGTAGTTACCTCGTTCTCATTCTTATTCTCTAGCTCGTCGGCCGTCTCTGCATCGAATCGTTGCAAGAGCACCCTTATATCCTCATTGAGTTGATTCCAATAGCGATTGACCACATTGAGGACAGCATCGTCCTGCGTCTGGCGTTTCTCCAGTTGCTCGATGCGATGCCGTTGTTCGGCCTCGCAACGCATTCGCTGCTCTATGCGCTGAGCGAGTTTCTTGTTCTGAAACTCCAACACCTTGATATCCATCTCCTCGAGCGTCGACACCGGCCCAATTAAGTGCGGCTCGAAGTGCACCTTTTTGATCGGCGGCTGACCTGCGGCCGCTGCAGCAACCAGGCAGCTGCTGCCACCGCTGCCACTGCCGGTGCCGGTGCCGCTGGCATCGTCAGCGCTACGTTTTGACATAATTTCTAAACTGTAACAAAAATATTATGCAAAAAAAATCGATTACTCTCCAGTTTTCTTAGTATTATTGATTTTCGAGTTTCGTGGCTGTGGTTGTGGCTGTACTCCATTTTTTTACTGTGTGCGGCTCGACGGACGCTGCCAGCTGGAACTGGGCGCGCCTATTGTCAAGTAGGTCGGAGCTGCAAACAAAATGAACAAATGGAGTGTGGGGCGCTTACCTTAATTTCTGGTTTGTACACTTTTTAGCTTAACATTAATTAATAATTCAACAGAGCGGCAGAATTCTAAAAGAGTTTTCTACTAATTGCTTGCTGTGTGTAAAGAGTTGCATTGTACATGATAGAGCGTGGCGGTCAGCCGATTACTAAAATCCAATGGGCTCGATAGTTTTTGGAACGTATGCCATAACTAGTTCATTTTACTTGCAGTTGGCAGCCCCCATTACTAAAGACATCCCAATAAAATGAGAAATATAAATGAATATTAGGTTAATTGTACAATATTTTCAATGTCAAGTAATGGTTGCATCGAATGCAATAGAAAGAGCTACAATATCACTTGATAAGCAGTTAACAATAAGTTAACAACCTTCGATATTTGCGTAACAGAACGACATATTTGGCCTTATTGGCTTATGTTAGCTAACATGTTACTAGTATACATCGATACCTACCCTACAAATGGATCGAACTGTGCAAAACAAATTGTAAATAAAAATGTAGGTGCAGCTCCGCCTTCTTGGTAACGAATATAATTTTGCTCCAGCAGATTGAGGAGATCTCTGCAAGACATGCGATGCTGAATAATTGCGTAGTGTGACCAATCACGAGTAACTTCCTCCGTGAGATCTGCGACAGGGATTCTCTGAGAAGATTAAGTTATTGCTGCATTCACAAGTTATTCAGAATTACAAATCGCCTATGTATTTATGACATGCCCAAGAGAATTTATGACTGACTGAAATTATCCTGGTTAAGTGTACCCGTTAAAATTGAGTCAATATATATTTTCACTAAATAGAAAAAACCTGCAAATTTTTAATATGTGATTGGTTAAATAAGTTGACCACATTAAGTAGATCATACATTTTACACATGTATCAAAACTGGAACTTCATTTTATGCAACTTTGGTGCTTTTTTCTGATCTGAATATTTATCATTGAGCTCAATTTTAGTAAATGGATTTAAAACACAAATCATAAGAAAAGAGTGTGCCCCATATTAATATTATTTTGCCATTTTGCTGCAACAGGTGCATCGATACTTTTGAGCTTTACAATATATCGAGTATAATGTAATTTGGTTAGAGTTCAATCTTTTGAATCAGCAAAGCTTATAATTTGCAGAGCACCAAAGGAGGGATATCAGCTTTCTCAGTGGTAATCTAATGGGATTTGGAAAACGAGCTATAACTTGAATGCTTCCAATGCACTTAAATTAAAGCTTAAGATCATTATATGATGTGGTTGAAAATAAAATAAAAAGGATGCACCAATCGTAAGCATGTCTCAGTAACTGGAGGCTGAAGAAATAGTTGATAGTTGATAAAAATCATTTTCTTAGAAACTTTAAAGAAGTAATGAAGCTATGAAAAATAGCTTGCGAGCTGTCTCGCTTTAATACTTTGACTACTTTTATTCCCTATAAGAGACATTATCCGAGATATTATTACAAGTGCTAATTCAGCCACTCAATACTGCTCTAAATAAATAAATAAATAATGCTCTTAATTTCTGATATATATCCTGATTTAAGTGACGACGAAGAACAAAACTTTAAAAACATTTTAAAATCACGAGCACATAATATTTAAGGAATCAAAAATCGAATTGCGGTCGAATAGAAAACGAGAACTAATCACGAATAAATTTTAAGCTAAATTAATAATACCGAAATAAGCTAGTAAACGCCTCTAAAATCCATTACTGCCTATTGACTGCCCCAATTTTCGGTTTTATTTATTTGAGACAATAATTAATTTTGCAAGTTATTATTTGCATTAAAGTTGCTCGATTTCGTGACAGCAGGCAATCAAACAGAAGAAAATGCATTGAGGATTGTTTGCATAATTCGAACTGGAAGTGAGTTTAAATTTATTGAACATGTACATTTTGACAATTTGGTTGAATTGAACGAGGCGATCTATGCACATGTAATTTAATTTGATTAAGTTGTTTTGATTTGTTTTTAGTTGAGAGAGCGTGTGTGTAATGGAGATCAATTAGTAGTGGATGGAGTGGAATGCACTCGAACTGGATGAGGATTGCGACTAGAACGATGAGTATTTGAGTGCCTGGCGCAAGGTCATGCAGTCGACCTCGTCAATCTTGCAAGTGTTCGCCTTGATGTTGATCTCCTCCTCCTGCATGACCTGGACATGCATCAGATACCGCATGGATGCCTTGTTCTCATTGAGCTTCTGATTCAGTTTGCACACGGATGCCTTCAAGGCCTGCAGCTCATTGTATAGAGCATCCTGGACCATGTCACAGGTTAGCTCAAGCCCGGGACGATGGGCACGATTGCTGAGACGCGTCTGGCATAGAGTGATCGCTCGCTGCTTGTCGCACATCTCGCGCTCCAGTTCGTTCATGTTGCGCTGCACTTGATGGATGTGATCCATGGTGTCCTTGTGCTTGTTCTCCAGGCACTGCTTCACGTGCTTCGTCTCCGCGATGCGCCGATCGAACGCCTCATTGGTGCGATCCGTCTGATTCTGCATGTCCTCGCAGATCTGCTTCAGAAGCAGGTCGATGTAGGCGCGCAGCTGTCCAGCGGACACCAGAGCCTTGGCGTTAGCCTCCAGATTCTCATACGTCTGCGCTTGCCACTCGGTAAGCGAGAATTGACTTGGGAAAACAGGTGGGCAGCAGGAGCATTAACAGTATCTGCAATTAAAATCGTATTTGATCTGACCTACCAGTGCTGCTTGGACAAATCCTGACCCTTGCCAAGGTCATGCTGGAAGTCCTTCAGCTTGAGATTCTTCTCGTCAATGGCCAGCGATTTGTCCTTGGCTGCCAGATCCTGATCCAGCAAAAACATGGCTGCACGCAATTTGCGAATCTGCTCCTCGGCCTCCTTCAGTGCCGCATCGGCCAATCCCTGACATCCCTTAATGACCTTCAGTTCGCGACGCAGCGACCGATCCACCTCATCATCGCACAGATCGACGCCGATGCGTCCCTCGCGCAGAATCATGCACTGCTTGCATATGGCCAGTGACTTCTCTTTGAGGAAGTCAATGGCGCTGAGGACACGATTGCGATAAGTGTTCAGTGTCTCATCCTCCAGAGCGGCCGTCTTCTTCTGACGATTTAGTTCGTCGACCAGGAATCGAATCTCGCTGGTACGCTCGCGCATATGATGCTCGACCTCGCGCTGCCAATTCTTGGTGGTGTCCTTCGTCTCATCCACCACGCGACGCGACTCCCTAAGCAGTTAGAAAGAGGAGTAGGAGTGAAAGAGAGTCGCTACTGCAATTACTTACTCGACAATACGCTCGGCGAGTTTCTCCTGATCGCAGGTGATGCGAAACTTGATCTTGTTATTATAATCCCAATCCTCCTCCGAGTATCGAGGCGGGCACTTAGCCACCGGACCCAAATGTTTGCCAGCCAGCTGCAGGCCCGTTATGCGACGCGTCTTCAAATTCGGCAACATGGTCAATAATGATGCACTGCCTCTGCCTCTCAATCGGTACCTCTGTCTCTGTCTCTAACTCGGTGTGTTCGCTTGATATCAAATATATATATTTATTTATATAGTATTGCGTAAGAATTGAATATAAATTTTAAAGGTTACGTGTGCGATTCTTTGCACTCATTTGAAGACACTTCTCGATTTGTGAGTGTGCTTTTGGGATTTGTGATTTCTTGTTTTTTGTTTGATTTTTCTCAGGAAATCATTTGACTGGCACACTTTGCTTTCGGCTGTGTGTGTAATATGAAGTAGTATATTGTAGTCTACCTGACAATGTGACGAGCTGACGACCTGCCTCCGAATCTGTAACAACTTCAACTGCCGATTCAGCTGCTGCTGTTCCTCAAAGGTGCAGTGGAGTTAGTTAAATCGATTCATGCTAAGGAATTTACGGTTGCCTAGCGGTATTTATTATTATGCCATTCCCTGTTCACACACACGTACATATGTGTGCATGTGTGTGTGTGGTAGTCAGGGCACCTGTCTGTGCCTGTGTATGTGGCTCTGTCACCTGGCAGTCAAATTGGGTACAAACGCAATCGTCCCGGAGCTGAGCTGGGGTTTCTTGGGCGCTCATTCAATTGCAGGATTCGGTGGCAGGCGCGACTCGTCCTTGTGGTTTTTTGCCTTACAGTTTAAAAATAGCTGTGCATGACTTTCAAGCAGCTAGCATGGATCGATTTATGTATGTTAACATACTTTCGCTTTTTGCCTTTATTTTATTGGCAACTGTGCAAAACTTTTTCCTTTTTTTTGGCATTAACTTATGCTAATCAACGGCAGCTGCGTGACAGGATGGGCGGTATCCCAGTGGGCGGAAAATATATTGCGGAAATTATGAACGAAAATTCACCGATTGAAAGTGATTGAATACATTTATTTTGGCAGCAGCGATACATGAAAAACATAAGCTGAAGGTTGAAAGTAGGTGGGAATTTGTAATTGATACCAAGATGCATTTTAATGCTTAAGAATGGAAATGATTCGCAGAAAAGAAAGAGTTATTCATTATATTGTTCACTCCTATGCGAGTATGGAATAGCATCTTCCTATTTCAGCACTTTTTCGAAATTTGACTCGCTATTGGCTTTAAAGGATTGTGAGGTTTGTAGAAGAAAATGTATCAAAAAATGTAAGTGTAGGTCACAAAAAATGAAACTAAATTGGCCATTCTAATGAATATCTTTCAAACAACTGATAAAAAGAGACGATTTAAAATTGAAAATTTCTCATAAATCGGTGATATCCTCGTAAATTATGCTAGGCAGCCAATTGATTGAAGCATATCAAAATTGTTTGTTTAGTTTAGGGAACAAGGATTTTCTGACTACGGCGAATTTCTGCTTCCGAAACTATGCCGCAATTTGAGAGAAATCCTTTTGGGCAATTTAGCCGATACATCAACCTATTTGTGTCACCGGTGAGTGTACATGCTTTCCTCAACAATAACCTGTAAAAAAATATCATTTGACACAACTAAAAAAAAAAAATCGTTTGTTTGTTTGTAATAAAGGTAGAGACGTGAAAGATTTAGTTAGTATGTACAAACAGCCGGAAAGAAAGATCACATTGAACAATTTATTTACAGCATTGGCATTCACCAAATACAAAAAAAAAAACAACCGAACAATGAATTCAAGTCATTATTGCATCACATCGAATTTCATAGCTGATTTTAACAATATACCATGTAAAAATAATATACCTTGTAGACCGGAGTTAATCTGCTGACAACTAAATTTTAGTCCAAAGTTCAAAATATACTGTTTTTGTACATTTAAAAAATTTTTGATTCATTTATGTTTTATATCCAGAAAAAATATAAAAATAATATAAATGTAATATATATCCTGTTTTCTGTACCAAATAAAATAATTAGCACCATTTTTGATGATGACTTTCAGTTTCCGGAGCATGTGAATAACTGTATAAATCACCTTTCAGCGATTTCAGATTTTGAATACCTATTCTCCACAAATCATAGCATTACTTTAGCGATAAAAGTAACCGGGAGATGATTGTTAGACAGACGCATACAATTTATTTATTAAGTGTTTCTTAAGCGATTTCGAAGAAATTTCTGCAATTTAGGCCCATATGGCTATCGGAAATCCATTGTTATGGAAATAAGAGAAACTGGGTAAGTTATCAATGAGATATATGTAAACTTGATATGCATATGCTATACGAGAACTTAAATAAAATAAAGATCGATCGTTTGACATTTAGATTCATCAGCTTGATTTTCGATTGATGAGAATATCGAGTAAAAGGCGCTGCTTAACTCTCTTTTGACCCGGATATTTTGCTTTAATTAACTAGAGTTTTGTTATATTTTTTTTTTGTAAAATTTAGTTTGAATTTATTACGATATACATTTGTTGTTGTTGCCAGCATATATATGCATGCAAGTACATATATGTATGTATATGCATGTACGTATGTGTGTAGTTTGATGTATATTTATATTATGCACTGCACTTAAACTTTAATGATAATAAAAATGTACAATTTAATTAACTAGGATCTGTTGATTTTTGCATTATTAGTTTTCAGTAATTTGTTTCCAGTGTTATTTTGGATTTTTTTTTGTTGTTCTGCTTTTAGTTTGGCTTCCACAGGCGCACCACCGCCCCAACCCTTCTCGAATCGTCGCCCCAACTCCCCAGATATGGCCTCAAGTTTCAAGAACTGTTTAGCATTTGTCGTTCGACGTAGTAATTAGACTCTTTTAATTAGTTTAGCTAACATACATAGTATCTGGCGCTTAGAAAATAAGTGTTACTTTATGCCAGAGTTGCCAATGTGATCGCGTGTTTAGCGCAATTTGAATGAACTATTAACAGTGAACTTTTATTTGAATTACTTCGTTTCTATAATCATTTGAGTCATTCGCCCAAACAGTTAATTAATTGTGTAATTATTAGTTCTGAGAACTGTACATATAGTATGCAGATCGCAACTCTACAATCTATGCGACATTTCATTTTTTCACTTTTGCTACTTTGAGGCAATTTATTCTCAGTTTGGTGTTTGTTTTCATCTTCATATTGTGTTGTCTGCTGGGTGTTTCTCTCAATTGTTTAACTTGGCTATCTACGAATACAAACTGACATTATTATTATTGTTTTTTTTTGGTTGTTATTTTAATATAGTGTTTATCATATTTTTTTTAAATTCATTTATTTGCTCTTTGTTTTATTGTTATGTTTTTTTTTTTAATTTGTTGCTAGTTTCTTGTTGTTTCCTTTTGTGTAGGCAGTGTTTTTATCATTCTTGGGTGTTGCTTGGGTTTCTGTTTTGTTTTATTTTCATCATCTGCTTAGCATCGAATATCTTTATCTTTTTTTATACTTTACATATTTCTTAAGTTTTAGCACAATTTCTTGTTGGTTTCCTTTGCTTTTCTCTTGCTGGCTACGCTAACAAAGAAAATAAGACATTTCTTATTTAATTTGCAGGCGCCACATTAAAAATAAGATTTTCCATTTGCTTATTTTGTTATTGTTGTATAACAAAATCCAAAATAATGCAAATTACAATAAGCAAAAATTTCATGAATTTTGTAAATCATACACACAATCAAATAAGTTTTACAATCCAAAAAGAAATATATTTATATTTATATTTATGTTTACAATTTGCTTCTTCTTTTTATTTAAGCGCATACAAATATTTTTAACGAAATATTTGTTGCTTTCATTCTGTTTACATGTTTCATTTTAATTTTTCTTTTCCTTTTTTTTTTTTTTTAGCTCATATTATAATTTAGTTGGTTTTGCATTTTCTTTTTTTAACAAAAATAATTGCTTCTGAGGTATTTCCTTTTTTGTTTATATAAATATGTTTTTATACACATAACCATTATAAGTATTTAGGTTTTAGTCGTTCTCGATTTCAATAGTTTGTTTTTGTTTTCTTTTTGTATTGTAGTTGTCTTGTCTTTTTAAACAATTCAAAGCACCTTTTGATTATATTTGACATTGTATTTTCATTTATTTTCTTTTTTTTTTTTGTTTTGATTTTTATTTTTTTTGCAATAATCAATATATAGATAATAATAAAAAAATCAACTGAAACAAAATATAATCAAAGTACATACAAAATTTTAATTTTATATCTATTAATTTAATTCATTATTCATTTTACGTTTCTATTTCTTCGTTTTCGTTTTTATTGATTTATTGTTTGTTTTTGTTGTGGCAGCGTTTAGCTTCTCAGTACGCGGTAAATGGGTTTAAATTATTATAGCATCATGGGGATTTGTGTTTGTTTTAACTATGCCGCTTTGCTTTAAGAAATGCCTTTTTTGTTAACGTTTGAAATGGTCAAGCAACTTTTAAGTCAAATTACATAAAAAGTTGCCGCAACTGAAAGCGAGTTTTCTTCGTTAAGACAAACTATTGAATAAATAGAGAAAAAATTGGCTATGCAGCAAGTGCGATTTACGACTTTCACGCTGGAAACCTTTGCATTCAGCTTCATATATTCACTTTTATTATTATTATCTTCATCATCATCATCTTTATTCTTATTATTATCATAGTTGTTGTTGTTATTGTTGTTGTGTGGTGTTTTGTTTGTTGTTCTATAAACTATGGTCACTATACACAAAGGTCTATCGAAATTACTAAATGGCTAGACAAGAATTTAAAGCTCGTATCTAAGCAAAATGGTTTGCATAATCATCATAATCAATGCTTTTGCATTTCTCGTGCATTTAAGAATATATATATATATATAGATATATATAAGAACTCAAATAGGGTTCTCTCTTTTCATGTGCACATTCATTAAACAACACAATAGTAATTGTAATTGTTTTTGTTGCTTTTGTTGTTGTCTTACTGTTGTTAAGTATATGTTTGTTTATTTGTTTGTTTGTATCTAAATAATAATAGCAGTATGTATAAAAAAAATCAAAAGTTTGAAGTGTACATTTGAACTAAATTGTGTAAACCTTTTTGCCTATAAGTATAAAACATAATCAATAAGTGGTAAGTATTTATACACGATCCGGAACTCGCTCCAGCCAGCTACTTTCATCATTAGTATCTCACAATCTACATGCATACATATACCAAATATATGTATATATATAGTTATTTCTATATAGTTGGCTATAGCTGTAGCATATGTTGTTTATATATATATGTCATATATAGTATGTGTGTATGTGTCTAACTTTAGTATTTATGTATATCCAAACAAAACGTTCATCGTAGCACGCGATCTCAATCGCCTTTCCCTCGTCCTTCTCCTCTATCCGTGTAATAACAAAAACAATCGCTCCTTCCTCGTTAGTAACCTTAGACCATTGGCAGTCCCTGCTGCACATCCATCATCTCGTCCTGCGCTGGTGATGGTCGCGGCGCAAACGTTTGCATATGAAGCGGATGCGGATGAGGATGCTGGTGTTGCTGCTGCTGCTGCTGTTGTTGTTGATGTGGCGCCGTTGCCCTTGCAAACATCGTTGAACGTTGCATGCCCATGGCGCCCACATTGCCGCTCACATTTGGATTGACGGATGGGAACTGCAGTCGAAAACTGTTATCCGGATGCTGATGTCGCGGTGTGCGCCTCGGTGAACGCGCCGGCATTCGATTTGCCCGATGCATCTCCTCCAATATCGATGGCGCAACGTAGGTGAAACCCTGCAAAAAACCAAAAGCAATTAAATATTGATTTCAGCAAGTGTTGTAACTGAATGTGATAATTTTTCTTCATTTTCCAACCGCCTGAACAACCCACCCAATTGGCGGATCGCGTGCGCCATTGAATTTGGAGCAGAAATTGACTGTCTGGGTTCGGTTCGGTTGCTCAGGCTCGGACTCGGACTCGGTCTTGGGTTTTTGTGTGCCGCATACTAATAATGCCCGGCCAGGAATTATGCAAGCCGACTGACTGACCCAACTGCCTATGTAACACATTTTGCATAATTTCTTATTTCTTTATAATTTTTTTTTATATTTTATTTTGTCAGCGTGAGAGACACTAATTAAAAATTGACGAAATTCCAAAACCACAAAAAAAAAAAAACAAACGTAAACCAAAAATATAAAAAAATATTGTATGCAAAATGCAATAAAATAATTAAACAAGCCTCCGGCTGGTGTGTAAATTCATCTGGCACGCTAGACAGCACTCGGCGAGCAGGTGAGGAGGATGGAGAGGGGAAGAAGCTGCAGAAACGCGTGACGCGTCCAAATGGAATGGAATAAAACTGTACGTGAGCGCAATGGTAATTGAAACCCCATTTTGGGATCTGATCATATCATCATATCCGTATCACAGCACATTAAACAAAAGAAGCAAAGTCGTCGCTGACCCACTAAACTCTTCAAGTCGCGGGCGTGCTATGTGAAAGCAGCTAAATAATAATCCATGAGAGAAGTTCTAATTGTAAATACCACACATATTAGCAGCAGTTTGGGTAGTAGTGTGATGTAAGTTAAACTTGAACTTATACAATTGAGAACACGGCTTGTAAAGCCATCTTCCAATGAGCAGCGGATGCAGCTACAATGCTGCAAAAACTGAATGTAAATTTAGAAGCAACAGTGCTGCTTAAACTTATAATTGGTAAAAAGAAACAAACTGCGCTATCAATGCACAAGTGAAATAAAACAAAGAGAAAAAGCCGCCGAAAAGCAAACGCAAAGCACTTGTCGTCTGTAAACAAATAAACTGCTGGGCGAGCAACAACAAAACGGTAACCTGCAATTAGCTCCTCAATCCAAAAACAACAACAACAATAGCAACAACATCAGTTACAAAAACAGTAAGCGCAACTCTGCGTCTTTTGGCCACGACCATTTCTCAGTCACGATCGTTGGCCAGTCGCAAAGAAACACTCAAACTGTGCGCACGCCAGCAGCAGACGCCAAGAAAAAGCAGAGCGAGAGAGAGAGAAAGAGAGAAAAAGTTTAACTTTCGTGTTGTATATAGTAAAATTGCACCACTCCTTTCCCTCGACGTTGAACACATTTAATTTTATAAGGCGTGGAGAAAGGCTCAACTTGGGATTTGCAAAGAAAAAGAAACATACAAAAAAATCAATGCGAGAAGCGTTTTAATTTCACTATGCAAATGCATTGACATTCATTCTTGGAAACTTCAGGGCTATCGGGTTGGCAGCCACACTAAAAAGACCCAGGGCCCAAATATAAAACCAGTTCAAGAGCTTGCAGTTCACAATAACAACAACAACAACAACAGAAACAGCAACAACAGAAATAGCAACAGCTGAGAGACGGAGAGAGAGAGAGCTGGAGAGAGAACGGGCCGAGAGCGAGACGCAGGCGCACGTGCAGAAAGCGAGAGCGTAGCAGCTGCGTCTGCGTCGGCGTCACCTTCTTAATTGGGACAAGAACCATTTGTAGCAACGCAGCAGCAGCAGCAGTGCTTGTCAAACTGCGTGCGCGAGGAAATGTTTGAAGTTGTGTGCGACATTGCATAATTGTCACAAGCAAGTGTAACAAAAAAAAAAAACAAAAAAACCTATCCAACTGCTAACAACAATAAAAAAAACATGTGCAAGAAATCTATAATAAAAATTGCCAAACTGTCAATTTGTGTGAAAACAGCAGCAGCAACAAAACCAACGCCGCATAAATAAAAGCGCAGCTTTGTTCGCCCATTGTAAATGAACAAAAACAGCAACCACAACAATAACAACAACCACAAACAACAACAATAACAACAATCGCATACACCAAGGAGAAAAAATTAGCAATCAACGTACGTTTTTCTTTTTGGTAAAATGTCCAAGCTGTTGAAAATAAATTCACTCTCGTTGCTGCTCCTGATGGCAGCAGCGCTGCCCCCCCAACAACAACAACAACAGCAACTGTTGCCAGCAAAAATAACAACAAACAGACTTTTTAATGCAACCGACGGCGCTGGCACTTTCATCGATAACAACCATAGCAGCAGCAGCAGCAGCAGCAACAACAACAACAACGAAGGCTCCACTGTCGCCTATGAGCAACAGCAACAGCAACAGCAACAGCAACAGCAAAAGCAACAACAACAACAGCAGCAACAACAAACATTGCAATATGCACAAGTAACGGCTTTAGATAAAGAAGTAGGTATGCATACGGTATCTATTAGCAGAAATAACAACAAAAACAATAACAGCAACGGACTTTGCTGAGCAGCTGTAAGGCGCATTTCCTATACCCTTACTTTGAGTAAGATCGGGTTAATATTTTTGGTATTCACTTTTAGTCTGAGTTAGAATTTAAACAGCATTTAGGTGAATTTAATCTGAACTGTAAGCTAAAAACAAGTTGAATTTGAAAAAAAAACATAATTTGAGCATAATAATTTTTGAAAATGCAGTTCTTAAAAATATATATAATTTTCTGCCTTTTTACATATTTAATAGAAGTGTATTGAATATGATTTAATTTAATCCGTTAGGAATAATAATTAAAAACATTTGAAACAATTTTAAATTGAGTTCAATATTTATAAATATTTTTTTGGATTTATATATTAAATTCATTTGTAAAAAAAAAAAAAAAAACAGCTAGTGTAGGCAAAAGTCGTCTTTCGTGTTTCTTACATTTTGTTGAAATTAAAGTGAAATTTTCGACTTGATTTAGTTGGTTAGTATGTGTTGTAGTTGTAGTTGCCCCTCAACGCTGTGCCACCAACAACAAAGTGCGTTTTTATATGGAACACAGCAGTGGCCAAACCCAAAACGCAAAAGCGCTTTGGCTTGTGTTTAATTTGCAAATTAGTTGCAGCACTAACAACAACAAAAACAACAACAACAGCTAAGTACGAGGGGAAGGGCGACAAATTGTCGGCACGTTAATTTCTTGGGTGGCCTCTTCAAATGTGTGAAAGTGAAATTTATTACACCTGAATTTGAAAACGAACGAATTTAGAGCTAGACACAACATGCATCACATGCCGACCAATGGCCGGCACTTAATAGTGTGTCTATGTGTGTGTTGAGTAATCGACAGAGCGTAGAGCTAATTAAAATCAAGTAAATGACACTAATCTCGTTTTTATATTTAGTTGAACGTTTGATCAAGCAATGGGCGCCGATTGTTTGGCTGGCTCCCGAGGAGAAATTCATGCCGATGGGCGTCGAGGAGTTTTTGCAGCATGTGCATCCCATCATGGACAAGGATCGCAGCTTTACGCCGGGCGTGCCCTTCAGCGAATACTCAACGAAATCGCATTTGGTTACCAACGGTCAGGTGGAGGATCTGCTAAAGAATAAGCAATCCTTCATCTATGGCCGTAATCCCAATGAAGCACCCGTGCCCATTTACGGTGTGGTCACACTTTGTCCAGCGCCCCCAAAACGCGAGCCGGAACCACCAATACCATTAGTGTCAGCCAGCACCCGGGGTTCCTACATACCCGTATCGATTGATCCGCTCGAGGAGCGCAATAATACAGTTCGTCGTTCGTCTCGTCTGTTTCCGCTGTTCCAGCGCGTGAAACGCGAGGCGCCCAGCAGCATGTCAGCGGAGTATGCACCGCTCAGTGACTATGATCTGGTCATGGGCGAGACGCAGTTAGCCGGCGCTGCGTTGCCAGAGGTCGCAGAGACTGTGGAGCAGCAGCAGCAGCTGGAACCGGAGCTGGACAATGGGCTGCCGGTGAACAATTTTATAGCCAATCTGGCGGACAATGTCAAGTTTAGTGGTGGAGTCGATCTCGATGATAATCTCGAGGATAACAACATTGGTGATTCGTCGGCGCACGAGAGGCAACCGATGAAGGGACAACTGCCCGGGTTCCATGTCACCTACTGGATGTTCTATCCGTACAGTCAGGGCAAGACAATGTGCACGCTGAGCCTGGGTCCCCTGGGCCGCATACCCTTTCCGGCTGTTTACGGCTACTGTTTGGGTCATCGCCGTGACATTGGCAGCCATGTGGGCGACTGGGAGCACATGAGCCTGTACTTTAACGGTGATGCTGAGCCGCAGGCCATGTACGTCTCGGCACACGATGCGGGCGCCTATTACGGCTACAATCGGTTAACTGGTGCCTTTGAGTTTCGACGCCAGGAGACGCGCAAGGGCATCCTGCAGCGTCCCAACTTTCCCAAAACGGTCACCACATTCAAGAATCATCCGGTACTGTTTGCCGCCAAAGGCTCCCACGGTCTGTGGACGGCGCCGGGCAAGCATCGATTCGTTAAGGTGGCCCGGCTCTATGACATCAATGGCTTTGGCACGCCCTGGAACACTTGGAAGGCCGTCGACATCAGCTATAAGAATCTGCGCTCCTACGGTACGTAATTACAATCTTCTTGTCTTCTATCTTATTATACGCGCATGTAAATGCTTATTTGTCTGCAGGTCGCTCCCTGGTGCCCGACTGGCTGACCTATCGCGGCAAGTGGGGCAATCCGAAGAGCAAGTGTCATCCCTTTCGCCGTATCGGCCTCAATTTCTGCGAGTTCACGGACGGACCCACGGGTATACCCCTGAAGGAGCCGCACTTTCAATGCGGCTCCGAATATCGTTGATTCTAGGCTGAAGATTGAGAATTGGAGTATCCTGAATAGCATTAAGCGTAACTTTAGTAAAGTATTTATTGTGAAAATCACGTCCTCCCCCCGATGGTTGCCCAAAAGCATTAAAAATTACCTAAGAAAAACTGCACAGCAACTGTAATCATTGGCTAATCCTTGAGTGGAAATTGTTTGATTTCTATAGTAGCGAAATTAAAGTTGCTGCATTTGATCTCTGATTCCTTTTGTAATACAATCTTATATCAAAAGTAAATAAAATCGCCAGCAGACCCATAACAGATATATATTACAACTGATCTTGGCCAAATAACATACTCTTTCTCCATCTGTCAACGAAATGATAAAGTGCTGATTAATTACGGATATATGCCAAGTTTCAACAAGCTACTCAGACTGATATATCTAAAGAAATCGAAGAGATCTTTCTCAGTCTTTTGCTAAGTTGTTGTCATTATTAAAACACAAGAATATAATAAACTACCTGCAGAATTAAGTTAGCCCCGATTTGGAAAATTAATAAGTAGTGCAAATTGACGCAAACACTCACTTGGAAAATTAAATTGGCACTTTCGCTGAGGGTTGTATCGTCCGGTGAATCCACGGGAATTTGTCTTGTGAATCTCGTATCAAACTGTGAGACATCGTCCTCGCTTCGCTGTTATCGATTAAAATCGAAGACAAAAGCGGAATATATTAATATATATCCCAGTCTCAATAGGTGCTATAGAAGTCTGCCTTACCAGTAGCGGCTTAATGGGTGGCTCTAGGCGTCGATTGACTACATCGTTCCAGTTGACATGCTTGAAAAATGGATGTGTTTGTACCGCCGCCGCATCTGCGGGTCCGCTGCCCAAACGTTGTGACTCCTGTCGCTTCATTAGGCGTCGCACCAGATCCCTGGCATCGGGTGTGAGGTAGGCTGGTAGAATAAGCTTCGCTTTAAGTATGGTCTCAATGGTTTTCTTGCGATTCTCCGCGGTGAACGGCGGCTGCAAAATTAAATCAAATGCCGGATTAACTTAGCAAAATGAGGAGTTATTTATGTTATTCCACTTACTACACCCGTGAGCATGTCAAACATGAGTGCGCCCAGTGACCACCAATCGACGGCTTTGCCATGGCCACTTCTAGTTAGAATTTCAGGTGCCCTGTAAATATTGAAAAGTACTCGATCAGTTCAAGTTTCATTTGGGATTTGTCGTTTCGGATTGGAAAAAGCTTGGCTATCGCGCACGCACATGTACTCAATTGTGCCGCAGAAGGTGTGGGTGACAATACCCTCTTGTATGTGCTCCTTGCACAGACCAAAGTCCGTTAGCTTCACATGACCCTGTGCGTCCAGCAATATATTCTCCGGCTTCAGATCACGATAGATGATGCCCAGCTTGTGTAAATGGCCCAAAGCCAATATGATCTCGCTCAAATAGAAGCTGCAAACCAAAAACACGATTGATTAGTGGTCAAGTTGTGTGAAAATCAAGTGAGAGCATTCATTTACCATGTTGTATCCTCCAGAAAGATGCCCTCACGCTCCAAATGCATAAAAAGCTCACCGCCACTCAGATACTCGAGTATCAGATACAATTTACCGTCTGTTTGAAACGCATACACTAATTCCACAATAAACGGATGCTGCAAACGACAAACGTAATTATTATAATTGATTATTCAAAGTCTGTGGGAAGTGTTAACAACTGTCAATTGTTATTACTTATAAAAATAGGTATTGCATACCATAATTAATATGGAGATGGGATACAATTAGATTGAAAGTAATCTATGACATGTATTAAACATCAGGAAGTGCTTCAAATTAAGTAGTTGTAAATTGTGAAATAATGTACATATAAAAATATGTATTGCAATTAGATTAAAAGTAATCGATACACTTCAGTAAACATCAGGAAGTGATTCAATTTAAGTAGTAGGTATTGCATAAACTAAATAATTAAGAATATGAACATGGAGATGAGATACAATTAGATTTCAAGTAATCTATACACTCGAGAAAGTTATTCAAGTAACATAGTTGTGATTTATGAAATAATGTTGTATTTGTTTTAATACATTGAAGGTCCAAGGATGCGTTTATCTCACCTTAACTGCCTCGAGTATATTTCGTTCGGCTTGCGTGTGCGCCGTGTCCTTTTGATTGGTCACTATGGATGCCTTTTTGAGCACCTTCATGGCAAAATAATTGTTGGCATCACGTCCAGCGGTTTTGCGCACCTGTCCAAACACAAAGAGAGACCAAACGAGGTTTAAAAGGGTTATTGTTTTGGGATTTTGGATATTGAGGCGGCAGCTTACCTGAAATACTTTGCCGTAGCCACCTTTGCCGAGCACTTTTTTGAGCTCAAAATCCGTTGGGCCCAATTTGATTTTGCCCGGATTGACATTCTCCTCGGAGAGCTGTATGGTTTCCTGGCCCTCAGTACTGTTCAGAGAGAGAGAGAGAGCAGGCGGATCAGATATATTCTCATAGAGATACGATTAGTTTTTTAGCCACAGTGTTTAGGTCAGATTGTGTGCAGTTGGCGTGGGAAATGAACAGCCCACGCATTCTATAAATAAGCCAGTGGCAAGCACGCGCCAATTGGCGCCCCCTAAAACGCCCCGTCAACGTTTTCAGCCAGCCAGCCCGACTGTCCCACTCCTACTATTGAGTGTTTGCACACTAGCTTGGATAGCTTGGTTAGCTGACATATTGGCCAATAGACGGGAAGACAACAACAGCTTGTTTGGTAGTCAATTGCCAGTTGTAAACACTTCTGTTGCCGACATGACAAAGCCCGCCGTTACGTTATCAGTGCGGTAGCCAGCCAGCGCCAGGTGCCTGGCAATTATCTGACGCCGGCCGGATGGACGGATACGAAAAGTCGCGTCAACATTTGTTCAGCTGTTTTGTTCTGAGAACCCCTATCAAAGCAGGCTCCTCATCATCTTCTGCCGGCGACATAACTTTGGCATTACTCACTCTTGGTGTAGATTTATGCTCAATTCCGGTTCTAGGTCGACCTGCAAGATAAAAAATACAGAATGCGAGAGAGAGAGAGTTATTAAAGAGAACAACGAACAATATGCAAATGAGTCAGCAAATACTATATATATATATATAAGTTGAATAATTAGTTGATAGCTAATACTAATTGCTCACAAGATACGCTCACTTATACCAAATACTATCTAACTTTGAGTGTAAACTGGTAATTAAGATTATATGCGAGTTGAATTTAGGCGAGTATGTTTTATGTAATGGCTAATGGAAAGGTTGATCTGCAATTGTAAGCTTTTCCAACTATCATTAATTAATACGAATCAAATTTATTATAATTCGTTTCTTGTATCTGCTTTCAATTTTCGCTTGAAAATGTTAAACAATTTTTTTTCTTCTATTGATTTTTTGAAATTATAATTAAAGACTCAAGACATAACAAAAAGAAAAGTAATCTTTGAACTTGTAGAATTTCCGATGAAAGTTGCGACTGCCTGGAACTGTGCAGAGAATATATATATATTTATATATAATGAGAGAGACAAATTATGATGTGCTCGCTCTTTACAGAGAAAGTGCTTTTGGCATGCAGAGAAATCGTTAAAAGCGGCGACGCCGACGCAGAACAAGCCTTACACCAAAAATTCGGTTTTTTTTTTTTTTGCCTTGGGTGCGTTCGCAGTTGATCAGCTATATATATGTGTATAGATACATGTGTATTTATATAGAGGCAGACACACTTCTCCACACACACACATACACAGACGAATACGCATACGCATACATACGCACACCTTCTCTTTAATGACAAACTATAATTAGAACTCGGAACAATGCCAAATACTCTGCTGGCAATTCTGCTACGGATGCTGCTGCGTCTGCTGCTGATTCTTCTGCTTCTGCCGTTGAGGCGTTTGCTTCTTGGGGAAATCTTGGAGACTTGTAAGGCAGCCGCATCTTGCATTGGACTCGAGACTCAGCAGAGCTTCGAATTTCAATTTTAAAAATTCATATTCTATGCGGGCGTTAGAAGAAGTAAATCAGTTTTTTTTTTTTTTTTGGGTAACAGAAACTGGTTGAAAATCGTTAATGTTGCTGGCTGGCTTCGAAAATTCCAATTAACAAATCCATCATAATTTCTAATGTTCACAATTCGAGGGCGTTCGCCTTCTTGCCTGAACTATTTATGACAAAAAGCAAATATAAAACAAGCTCAATTGCATTTTCAATTGCTAGCCAATAATAATAATAATGATAATAATAAAAATGAAAAAAAAAAACCGCACTGAACACGCAGCCGATTGACTCGATTTCTAAGTCATTTTGACATTTTCTTCTCGGGTTTTTTTCGCCTTATCAGCAGAGCACGTTGTTGTTTTTTTTCTTCGTTTTTTTTATTTTTAATTTCACATTATTCGCTGATAAGAATTTTTCATTCCTTTTAAGTGGGAGTTTAGCTCACAGCGAAATAAATGAGTGTGTGTTAAGACCCAGCTGCATTTATTAGCGTGAAAACGGTGCTGAAAATTACATTATTCTTTCAACATTCCTTGGAGACATCTATAACACATTCAAGCCTTCAACACTCAAGAAAAAATAATAAGTTTATCTTTCTAAGATATCTTAACAAATGCCATGAAATAATGATCAGAATATTATATTATAGATTGGTATTGTTTATCAATACAAGACTAGTCGATTCATTCATTTATTCAGGTACAATATTGAAGCTCATTCATCAAAGAAAAAAAGTTCGACTGGGTTGAAATTGTCAACTTGAGATACTGCTGTTATTTGAACGTTAGTGCGGGTGTGTGTGAATAACTGAATCGAACTGATACTGATTATTTTGAAGGACATTTGACAACAAGAGTTCGATTGCCCAAATAACGCGGCATATTAGCGAAAGAGAATATTTGGTGATAATGATGCAACAACAATTGTGTTTCATAAGATGAGTCGTGCTTGAGGGCTGCAACTGAAGCTGCGATGATGAGCGTTGAGCGATGAGATTGTTGAATAACCTGATGACGACACCCTGCCCGCGTATCTGGAGGTGGACTTGTGCGCAGCAGATAAGCTTCGAGAGAGTTCGAACAGCCGAGAAAATGCCAGACACAAAAGCGAAGAAGGTAAACAAAGAGGAAAATCTTTGCGAGTGGGTGGAGTGCGGAAGGGAAGTGCAGAGGGGAGGGTGGGGGGTTCTGTTGCGTAGTTTCTACTGCTTTGTTCCAAAACTCACATCATCCAATTCGATCCTGTCGTCATCCGAGTCTCGCGCTTTGTCATCTTCGTGCAGCTCGAGATCGAAGACTTCACTTGTATCACTTACGTCCGCCATTTGTCGTTGTGTTTGTCGCTCACACAAACACACACGCGCACACACGCACACTCACTCACACACTCGCAGAAACACTTTTGGTTTTTGCTTTTTGGATTTGTTGCTGTTGCTGTTTCAGCTTCTGCTGCGGAAACAATACGGAAACAGCGCAACAAGACGCACTTTCTTTTGGGCAATGCTGCGACTTGATTTTTGGCTTTGGCTTACTCGCGTCAGGCGCGGCCCCCGAAGGTTATTTGTTTATTAGTTAATAGAATTCTGAATGGAAATGGTGGCGCAGCAGGCAGCAGCAGCAACGGCAGCAGCGGAGCGCCAATGCCACAGCCACACAATGCCAATACACAGACACACACGCACACACACGCACGCACACGCACACGTACGCACACACACACTGAGGCGCGCACTCACACTCATGCGGAGAGAGACGTTGACGCGACCATGAGACGCATACAGTGAGGCGCACGCAAGTTGCTTACACACACACACTCACACCCACACACACGGCTTGGGGAAAACAATGCGAAATATTCAAATTAAATGAAATGTGAATTTAATAACAATTAAAATGCACTTTTTCTTTGTTTGCAACCAGAACACGAGGTATGTTGGGACAGCGATTGCACTATTCGCGCTTATCGATACTCGCCAGGTATCGATATCGATGCCGTTTATATCCCACCACGATTGTTAGTGATGGCCAATATTTCGATTCATTCTTAACCTGCACGCTAGCAAAACAAAGCTGGAGAAAAGAAATAGTTAATTACGTTATACATATATATAGACAAATAAATAATTATGTGCACAGGTGGTTCACCCAGCAGCAACGGTTCGCAAGCCGGCGATGGCAACGAGGCCGAGCAACAACAGCCCGCGACGGATCAACCAGAACTTCCGCAGAGAACAGCTATCGTTTCATCAACTCCCGAAGAGATTCTTGCCGAATATGGTGAAAATCTCAAACTGCTCACTCTAAATTCTCAGGTGTCCGAACTACTGACCATTATACGTGATAAGTAGGTGCTTGCCAACTGAATTGGAGCAGTTGTGGTTATGTATTTAATTCCACTTCTCATGCAGGAATACCACACGGAGTGATTTCAAGTTTTATGCTGACAGGCTTATCCGGCTCGTTATCGAGGAATCTCTGAATCAGCTGCCCTACTCGGACTGCGACGTGGAAACACCGACGGGCGCCATATATGAGGGCCTCAAGTATCGTTCCGGCAACTGTGGCGTCTCCATCATTCGGTCTGGCGAGGCCATGGAGCAGGGCTTGCGTGATTGCTGTCGTTCCATACGCATTGGCAAGATTCTAGTCGAATCGGATGCGAATACGCATGAGGCCCGAGTGGTCTACGCACGTTTTCCCGACGACATTGGCAGTCGGCAAGTGCTGCTCATGTATCCCATAATGTCCACGGGCAACACGGTGCTGCAGGCCGTCAATGTGCTGAGGGAGCACGGTGTTCCAGAGAAGTGCATCATCTTGTCGAATCTTTTCTGCACACCCATCGCCGCTCGGACCGTTGTCAATGCGTTTCCCAAACTGAAGATACTCACGTCCGAGCTACATCCGGTGGCGCCCAATCATTTTGGCCAGAAATATTTTGGTACTGACTAGATAGAGATAGGTATCCAACAGCAACAACAGCTCACAGACCAACTTGACAACGAAGCTCAGCCTCAGCTTGGGATTGTAGGTGGAGTGCGTGTTTGTTGTCCACCACTCATCCTAACCGAATCCTGTTTAGCTTAAGAGTTTAGAACTAACCTTAACCTTAGACTTGTCCGCTTCGCTTACTAAAATCTGTTCTTCTCTAGACGGTGCTTGAATTGGAGGACGGGCGAGAAGATCCAACAACAACGACATGCAATTATCTGCCCCGTTTCAAATGTGGCTTTTAATATATTCAATTCGCAAGAAAAAAAGTGACTTGCTTAACTTATATATATATATCTAAAATGTAAATACAAACTGAATAAAATCGCTATAAACGTGTAAATGTTTATCACTTAAGTGGACATCTTGTAGTTGACCACAGTGTCCACTTTGTGCAGCCCGGTGGAGAAGGAGCGCAACTGCACCGCCTGCGCATTCTGTATGAAAACGGCGCCAGTTTCGTCCCACTGTTCCGGCACCTCGGTGCTTTGCAGCGTATGGATCATTACATCGAACGTACAGATGCAGTCCAGCAGTGGTAAATAGCTAACCGTAGCCGATATCTGACGCATCACATCCCGTATCTCGTTCTGGATGCGGCCCAGCTGCTTCGACGAGGTGAGCTTGGTGGGATCGTTTGTCTCCCCGTCGCCTGCCTCCGCTTGCATCTTGAAGTCCCAGCACTCGAGTACCTCTTTGGTGTGGGCATTCGTGATAACCATCGATATCTTGTTGATCATATTCTTCGATAGCCATTCTGCAAGCGAATGTACGCAAATTAAATAATTCCAACCAAAGAGAAGCGTTACAATTTTGTAGCTAACCTTCGGTTTGCGTGAGGACGTTCTGCAGAAAGGCCGTGATCTTGGGATCCTTGGACATGAGTATGGTCAGGCCATATTGCTGGGTGCTGTCAAAGTTTTCCGCCGGATATATGCCGCGTTGGAACAGTATCGAATTGATGCCGTATTCTATAAATTTGCAAATAAATAAAAGGCAGGGACGCCATTAATTAAAGCGCGCAATTTTTTTTGCCGCCGTCTTGTTTCTCTTTTTATTTACTCAAGTATTCGACGATGATTTGTGCTGAGCCCTTTAGTGTTATGCAGTTCTTAGTTGCTTGAGCTGTGGACATCTTTCAGCTGCGTTTTCCCGATCTTATTTGTAAAATGACAAAGTTTTCTACAAATTTATGCCGCTAATTTTGAAGCTGTTTCTTTAGTTCCGTTCGTGAACAAACTTGTTAGCTTCAACGAACCACTTCACAACGCAACCAGTTCGCTAGCTGGAGCTTGAGTAAAATGAACTACAGAAGTTAATCGATAAAATTAGGTTGCACTAAAATGACCGAAAATCGTTAATCGATAAATACACCAATATATCAAAACGAGCGGGAGATATGGCGCCAAATGTATTTGTATTTAAATCATAGTTCTTGATAAGAAATAACACAGCAAAGTATTTGCAACAAATACATGAATTTTATTTGCAATTTTTTAAAACTATAACTAAGCATGAGATCCAATAGCTGGCAAGTGCAGGTAGTTGGTATGGGATAGCCGTCTATTTTGCACTTCTTCTCATCCATCGATTGTAATTTTTGCCGTAGGCCATTTTGTAGGTGGAACCTGTCGAAAAACCAAACGAACGTGTTTTCAGCTAGGATAATTGCAATTTCGAAAAAGATTTCAGTATTGCTTTGAGCTTGGAGTCAACATAAAAGAACAGCAAATGTAAAATGAAAAACCAAGCAATATTGTGTGTATTTTTTTTTTATATTTTTGATAATTGTTGTATTTGTATTGCTATAAATAATTTAAATAAAGAAAAAGAGGAACAAATTAAAATCAATCAAATTTGTAAAATCTGAAGTGTTTGAAAATTTTTAATAAAATTTTTTCTTACGCATCATTTTGTGTGTGTGTTTTGTTTTTAATTAAAATTAAGCTTTACATAGTATTTTTGGTATAAATCTTTCAATAATTAAATTAAAAATTTTGACTTAATTTAATTAAAATAATCTCTTCGCCAGCTACGCCTACAGTAAGTACAAACTGATGTCAACATATACATAAGAACTAAATTTGCATGTGTATGTGTGTGTATTTGGATGTGGGTGGGTGTGTGTATGTGTGTGTGTGTGTGCGTGTGCGTGGGGATTTATGTACGAGTTCTTAAGACAAAGATTTAAATTAATTTTTCATAAAATACAAAATAAATTATGGTTAAGCTCTTTTATAACTTAGCTGAAATGTACACAAAACTTATCGTGAATTATAACGTATATACGTTTATATTTATATACATGGTTTATTACAAGTTTTCGGCTACTTTGTAAACTTTCGTTCTCTATATACGCTATATATGTATGTATGTGTGTATGTGTATGTGTATGTATGTCTATAGTACAACAACAAAAGCGCAACAGTGTCAGTGTCAGGGTCAATCTGTATATCTTTCTTTATCATTAATTTTTTCTATATATTTTTTTCTCGCCATACAAAGTACAAATAAAATAAATAAATTCAAATTTTCATTAATTCTCACAATACACAAAACTCTTGCCACCGTGCACAAACGCCACTTTTCTTAAGTAGTTGCAACAATTTTGGGCGCAACGCTTTCACATGCCAAGCACTTGTCTTGGAGTGAGCGATACGAAAATGTTTAGTGTGTGTGTGTTTTTTTTTTTGTATTTTTATATATTTTTTTTTTGTGTGATTCAACAAATTGTATAATTTTTTAAACTAATACTAAAAAATTACATTTGTCGGCGTTGGAGTGCAGGGAGTACTTTTGTTTGCGTTTGTTTCTTGTTTTTGTTTTTTGATTTTTGTAATAAAAATTCTATGCATTAAAATAGTCATTATTTAAGGTATGTATTTGGCCGTAGATTGCAACAAAATATCTGTGAAGAGATTAAATCATAAATAAAAATTAAAATTAATTGGATGTTCTTTTAATTTTATTTTTAATTTTTTTTTTTTGATAACTAGTTGCCCTAATACCATTTCCAAAAGGGAATTACAAGCAATAAAAATGCACTAGTAATTAAGGGTTCCGATGGGAACCAAAATGTTTGTCATGCATGATTTTTTTTTGTTTTTTGTTTTTTGTTTTTATTAAAAAAGCTTTAGCATCCTTTTTGGAAACTGTTTGTCAGCTAAGCTTTATTCTCTTTTGCGTTAAGAAAAATGTAGGAATAAAATAGTGGAACAGAGTTAACCAATTCAGAGATAAAAAATATAATAAAACAGTGAGGAAACGCAAAAGATTAGTCAAATTATTGATAAACAACCACCAGATAAAAATAAAAATAAAGGAGCAAATGAAATTGTTTTTTTTTTTTTTGTTTGATTTGTTCGGTTTTGGTGTTTTGGTTTGTCAAAATCTACAGCCAAAATGTTAATAATGTTTCATAGAATAACAAGAAACTATAATAAAATGTATGTACGAGTTCTAAACAACTAAATTAATTGCAAGAAATAATTTTTGTTATTTAATGAAGTATTATTATTCATGTTGTTACATCGCATAGAGTTTGTTTGTTGTGTTTTTTTTTATTTGTGTTTTTTTTATATTGATATTTTTGTTTTTTTGTGTGTGTGTTTTTTTTTTAATATTGCAAACTACAAAAAAGAACAAAAAAAAATTGATATCGAAAACAAAACAAAATTTCGGTTTGTGGTCAGTGCTTTTGTGTGTGGTGACTGTACTTTGGCGACAGCTATTGCTGATAGGGTTGCCATTGTGTTGCAAAGAATATCTAACTTAAGAGAGCCTCTGTTTACTGTTATTGTTATCGTAATCGTTATTGTTATCGTTATCGTTATTGTTATAGATAGAACGTAATCCATATGAGTGTAGGCTGCGCCAATTGAATGGTTTGAATGCACATTCGACAAGTTATTCAGTATTTGGTAGGTATTCTGTTGTGTTTCGTAATTTCTGACTGTCTGTGAGTCTGTGAGTTGCATTTGAAATTTGTTTTGTTTTGTTTTGCTTTGCTTTGTTTTGCTTTGCTTTTCGTGTAAATGGAAAATAAAATCGTTTTTAACATTTACTTCAAAGAGAATTTCAGTAAAATTAGTTTTTCCTATGTAATAACTATTTAAAATAAACCTTCTATAGCACCATTTGTTTTTATTCGCATTATTAAAATATTCATTAAACTTTAATTGTAAGTATTTTTGTTTTTTGTTTTTCATTTATTTAATTTTTATATTAACGTATAATAATAGAGCTTTTAATTAAAAAAAGAACAAACTTTTTGTTGTTAGTTAGTTTTAAGACTTTGCTTTGTTGCTTTTTGGAATGTGTTTTCTAATAAAAATTCAAGTTCATTTTAATATGTGTGTAGTGTGTGTGTGTGTGTGTGTAAGAGGTGGACAGCAAGTGGAGGGGGTGGGGGGAACTTCTGAATCTTAGGCTTGATCTCATATATCGTTATTACGTTCGATTATCAAGCTTCAGTTGCTGAGTTATAGCCGATATATACTGTATTTGTACTATGTGTGTGAGAGTGTGTATATATATATATAAATATATATATGTATGTATGTATTGTCAGTTATCAACTATATTTGGTTTATTTCACATACTAATCTTTATGATAGATATGGACAGATATACTATGATCATTCAGCTATTTAAAAAATTTTGGTTAATTTTGATACTTGTTATGGTTTTTCTTTTGTGTGTGTGTTTTTGTGTTTCTGTTTGTGTGTGTGCGATTTGAATTCAGTTCAGTTTCGGTTCAGATTTTGGCTTTGATTTGTATCTGTATCTGTATCTGTATCTGTATCGGGTAACTCGATCTAAAACAATCGATGCTATAGAAGTGCCTATTTTAGCAGTAATAACCTCCATAATACTTGTTGCCACATTCGGGATTATTGCTGTACGTACTGTCTGGACGGGAGAACTCGCAGCGCACGCCATTGAATCCTTCCGGGCAACTGCAAAAGAAAAAGAGAAACGATAAAGATAAAGATAAAGACATTTATAAATATTGTATTTAATGCGATGCGTACACTTAAATGTACTCCCACAGAACCATTGAGGTGGCCATGAACTGTGTGTTCAGCATTTCCCTCAAATACTTAAGTATAAACAGCACAAGCGAAAACCCCCCAATACTTAATTGAGAATCTTTGCAATTTTTTATACCCATTAAAAATTGAAAAAAAGAAAATAGTATAATGGTTTGGGCCAAGGTGTGTAACAGGCAGAGGGAAGCAACTCCGACCCCGTCAAGTATATATATATATATATATGTTACTGATCAGCATCAAACGCCGAGTCGATCTAGCCATGTTATTCAGTTCGTCTACATGAAAGCCCTGATTTATGAGACTATATGAGCTAGAGATTTCTCGTATACTCCGAGCAGATCAAGATTATTTAATTTTATCAATAACTGTCGGCGTTTCGTAAATACTAATACATATCGAATTCCAATAGCATATTTTAAAGAGAGAGTCTCTTAATCAATATAGAATATACCCTGATTATCATATATTATATCAACATAATATTAATTAACTGTCCACATTTTGATTGAAGATCAGAAGAGAAAAACCCAAGTTATAGTCCTAAACGTATTTTCATATTGAGGTCTTTACCTGCGTTATTTTTGCCTTTCATAAGAAATGAGACCAATTTCCCACCTGCTTAAATTTGAGTGTGCAATGCTTTTCAAAAGGGAAATCGGGCAATTAAAGTAGAATAATCATTTTTAACAGCTTGCTATACGGTATGTTGTAGTCGATCTCATTCAACTGCAGCATTCTTAGTTGTTGGTTTTTGCAAAACAACCCAAACGGGAGAACTCATAACGAATTGGAAATGAAAACGAAAATGGCTTTTCACAGATAAAAAGAGTACAATGCGCTTCTCTCTTTTTTTCTTTTTTTTTTGTATGCCAATGAATTGATTTGGTTTGGTTTACATATACGAGTCGATTTATGCGTCGGGCAAGCGAGGCGCTGACAGATATTATTCACATTGCAGACACACACACACACACACACACACGCACACACAGTCTGTCTATGTATGAGTGTGAGTGCGAGTGCGAGTTTGGGGAGTTCTCAAAAATTTAACTCGATCGTGTAATGCGATGCCAAAATTGTACATCGTATCGACAGTTGTTCTCAAGTGCTGCTCTCAGTTGGTTTAGTTTTAGATCTAGTTTTCTAGTTTTCCTTTTCTTTCTTCTATTTCGTATTTGGGGGTTGTCGCTTTGACTTTATCAGCTGTCACACGTTTTATCACACAGCACTGTGCAGCCAGCCACTTGACTTTTGGGTTCGCCATGCTGAGGTCGTTAAGCAGAGCAAGCAGCAGAGACGAGGACGAAGACGATGCTGCAGCAGCTGTATCAAACCTAAAATGAACTGCATATAGCACACTGACTTCAACTTACTTGCAATAGAACTGAGTTAGATCCGGTATTATCATGCAGGTGCCGCCGTGAAAGCATATATTCTCAAGTTCACATGGATAGCCATAGCCCATGCTGTGCTGATCCGGTCGCATCGGAACTGCAAATACGTAACATAATTAAATTAAATCAAAATTCATAAATTTCATCTACAAGAAACATGTATACACTCAGAAAAAAAATTAACAATTTTACAATGCTTTTTTAATTTTCGAAATAAATTCTAAATATAGAAAGTTTAGTTTTATATTTTTCTGAAATATATTTATTAACTTTAGGTAATTTTTCTAAAAACTAGAAATGCACAAATTTACTCAAATCAGAAAGGTTTCTTTTTTATTTTTCAGAAATATTTCCAGAATATCTAACAAATATAATAAGAGCAAACATTTCTAAAATGTCGAGATGCAACCCCTTTTTTAAGTCTTTCTGGTATTCAGAAAATAGTAATGCAATCTACGCTCTAATGAAGGATCCTTAAATTCAATTATTTATTTCCTAATTTTTTTATACATGAAACTTTACTAACGTTATTTAATCTAATGTTCTGTGCGTACATATATTAAAACGCCCTGGAAACTGGACAAAAGTATTTAAAAACATTTTGAATAAATATTTCTTGGAATTATAAAAAGAAACACTATGGTTTTTAAAAAGACACAGCCTTCGATTTCAAAACCTAATTTCTGAATAATAAGGTGAGTTTCTTTGACGCTTCTCTAAAATTCAGGTCGCTTTTTGTCTTAGTGTATCTAGATATAGATGTAATATATATGTTGAACTATGCATGGATTGTCACGTTCGAATGTGCCCATAAATTATAAATGAATTGGAGCGGTCTCCAAACACGACTGTTTGACAGACACACATCAAAGTGCGTGAATTGACATAGATATGGTGATATATATATATATATATATATAGTTATGATGTTGAAGGTCTTACCTAGATGAGCATTGATCATGATGCGTCGCTTGTCGATAGTTTTGCTGGCTTTGTTCTTGGCACGGCACTCGTATTTGCCCGCATCGGTGGAACCGTTAAAGGAGCGCACAATCAGCACGGAACGTCTTCTGCACATATCAGACAGAGGCAGATGCACAGAGAGAGAAAGAGAGAAAGAGTGTGTGAGTGAGTTAGTGAGAGACAGATGGAGAGATTAGTGATGGGCATGTGCTCACTTGAAATGCTTAAATTGGTAAACACGGCGTTTGCGATTTATCGACTTGTCGTCCTTGAACCAGGTCACCTTTGGGGGCGGCTCACCCCTCACCTCGCATATGATGCGCAGCTCATCCCCATTCTGCATCGTTGCGTTGCTCGGCGTTATCGTCGATGTCGATGTTAGCTCCTGGCCATTCCTCATCGTGCCGCTGCTCGACGTCCATTTGATCGACTTGATCGATGCGTTCTGTGCTGTAAGGCAACAACAACAACAACAAAAATAGCATTAGAATTAGACTCACAATATCCAAAAACATATATATATTTTTATATATACTACCTATCTGTAGTACACATACAGATGGATCTTAAATTCTAATTAATTTTAGGCATTTTCATTGTTTATGCGAAAAAAGCGATGTTTGTGCCTCGGCGCCATAAACAAATGATTATGGAATTTATTGAGATTCTTGAAGTTTGTTTTTATTTTCGATTTTATAGGCAGTCGCGACGTCTGCTCAAATGGTTCAACTTAATCGTAAGTTGTTTATGGATTCTGCCTCCATGGCGATCGTTAAACTAAAATATGACATGACCTGATTTTCAATAACCAACTCAAACATTTTTGCTACTTTTAGAAATTGATGAACGATTTTCAAGTCGTCTTAAGGAACTTTGGAAAACTCTGGACAACTGTTGACAGTTGATACTTGAAGTTGCTTTATAAATAAAAATTTCATAATCACTTTTCAATCATGGAGTTATTTGTATCATGCTTTGATTAATTTAGCATTCTAAAATTTGAGCGTTTTTCTCTTTTCAAATTTGCCGTCTAAAATCATGACACAATGGTTGAGTTGAAAATCCTTTAAATTCCTATAACGCCCATTTCAAACTCTATTTTTTCATATGCATTTAAAATTCTTAAAGATGTCAAATGCATATACAATGAATTTTGTGTATTTATTTAAAGTCGACTAATATTAGTGAACACAGAAAATACTTCAAATCAAAACTAAATAAAATTGAAAATAAAATCTATATTTTAAATAACCAGAAAGTTGACAAGACTATCTTAACCAATATTTATTGATTGGTTATTTTTGTACAACTTTATTAAATGATTCCCCATTTACTCTCACGTGCTTGTTGCTTGCTGGCGTTAAATTGATATGTTTAGCATTCAGCTTATATTTAGGTTGCTAATTATCGCATTTTGCAAAAGCCAATTACAACTCGACCAATCGGTTGTGGGCTGCAATAAGTTGCCAAAAAGTCTCCTTCGCAACGACTGGCTCTGAGTCATAAGTGTCGAGAATTTGGCAATGAAATGAATGCCTCGACTGAATGATCGCCTCGACTAGTCATTTGCCATTTGCCATTTGCCACGCCCCCAATCGCAGATTTCTTGCTTTAATTAGCCGGCATATCACGTGTCTGGGGTGGGTGCGGGGGAGGTGGAGATGGCGAAAGCAACGCATCACATGATAACCGAGAATTGAGAATTGCGTGTGTGCTTTGGCAGTGAATGAATCATCGACATCATGACAAACAATTGGTCAAATCTTTCTATCTATCTGCTCTATCAGCTATCTCCTCTGCTCTCTGCTATTTTGAATTCTTGGGTGGGCGGTTAGCTTTCGGTTGAAGTGCACTTAAAAATTGCATGCGAATTTCTCACAGATTATGCAATCGCATTACGCACGCGAATTTTCCAGTGAAAAAAAAAAGAAAAAATACCATAAGAAGAAAAAAAATATATACGCGACCGGCTAAATGAATAATATAAATGATAATTATAAAATCCGATGAGACTGTATATAGTAGCAATATTTATGTGTTAAAGTCGTGGAACGCTATTTATATATTCAACACAGTCTGCGAATTTTTGATTTAATGCTAAGCGAATGGTAATTTATGCGACTCTCGCGTGGCCCGGCCGAAAGGAAAATGTATATTATGTATAAACATATATATAACATGTACATACACCGGCGATATTTATTCTATCAAATGTTACATATTAAAAGATAATTTATTGTTTATAATTTATGTTTTCGGCCAACGCGACGGCCCATAAAACAGCATTTTAATTGTGCGCGTCACTTTCTCACGCTCCCAAATTGTTTGCGCTGCCTTCTGCTGTCTTCGGTTGTCTTCTCTTCTCCCTAAATGTGGAGGAGCTCCATACCAAATAAATACAACAACAACAACAATAACGGCAGCAACAAATACAACATCAAACATAAAAAGAATAAAACGGCAACTCACAAGTGGCTATGGACAGAAGGCGATTAAGAATTGAAGGCAGCACGCAAACAAGTTGACAATTGTCATGCCCAAAGCCCAAAAGTGAACCAAGTACGTTGAACGGTGAAGGGGGTGTCCCCTCCACAGCACCAAACACCAAACACCATCCACCCTCCACCCCCCACCCTCTGTCCATAGGTTGGCTGTATGGGAGCCCCAAATTCAGCACGCAGTTTGCGCCGGTCGAAGCCTTTTCAAGTTTTTTGCTTTGATTCCACAATGAAATACGAGGCATAATAATAAGATGAACATTTTATTTGCGTGTGTGCGTTCCTCTACACTTTTTTTGTAATATAATTTTTTATACAATTTTATGTCCCCTTTGTTGTGGTTGTTGTTTTTGTTGTTTGGTTTTGGCATATCATTTCAGTTCAATTCAATTTATTGTTATTATGACTTAATTATGCGCTTAAGAGATGATTATCAAAGCACTGTGGCCATTGGTCTTTTATGGATGGAGAAGTTGTGTTGATCAAGCCAATCAAAATATTAGGGAAGATCAGTGCGAGTACAATGATCTGTTACAGTAATTATCGCTTAGTGAGCTTATCGAGTTATGAAATATATTTATATAGTTATGCAGTAAGTTTGAACGTAGTGCTTGAACTGTTTGCAAATTACAAGTGTACAATTGAAAATACAGCAAGTGAAAGTGCTCTAGATGAGAGAGAAAGAGAGAGAGAGAGAGAGAGAGAGAGGGAAGGAGAGAAATAGAGAGCTATATAGATAGAGAGAGACAGACAGATTTAGAAAATGCTCGCATTTCGGTCACTAGGAATTTATGATTTTATTGACAACTTCTGTGTTTTGCAAACGAACTTGATGAAATTTGTTACAGTAAATAAACATTATGGCAATGCATATTCCTGCTGGAAAGCCATATTCGTAATATTGTCGCTTTTTAGTACAATCGATTTTAGGGGCACAGGGAAAGTTATCGATAAAATGAAATGAACTTGCTTAGGAGTCTCAGGGATCGGCTCGCCTAAACAGATGCGCAGAAAGACAAACGGACAATCGGATGGATGCACAGATATCGTTAGTTGTACCTAGTTTTATTTTGATTAAAATATGTTGTTGGCTTATAACAGCAATTGCAATTTCTTGCTTGATCTATCATCTATCAATCAAGAGTATTGCAGAGTGGAGCATTGCACTGTAATCTGATATTCATTCGTTTATTTATCTATATTTTGTTTTGTTTTTTTGTGAAGCGTTTTGCTGGCAGAGCTCATTCGCCCCTTACGAAGATGCTAACACCATTCTGTTGTTGTTGCTGTTGTTTTTGATGCTGTCTGTTTTTTGGGTTGTGTGTGCGTCAACACTACGTCAAAGCCGCAGCTGCTGTCGCGCCGCGCTTCCGGAAAAGTCTGGCATAACAACTGTGACAAAAAGGCAAAAAAAAAGAAGCAAAAACGCAAAAAATAACAACAACAAAACGTAAAAAAAGGCGGAGAGGAAACGCTGCCAAAGCAATGGCAGGAAAAGTGTCGTCGGTTTGGCTGCTGCCTGTCGCCGATTTTAGCACAGGAGATGGGAGGCGATGTAGCCGCATTAAAATAACTTTCCATACATACACAATGCATATAAACGTACATATATGAGATATATAATAATTTTTCCTCGTTTCTGCAACTCATTTTTGTGCGATTTTCCTTCGAGCGTGACGCCTCAATGATTCATGCAAATCCATCAAAATGAGCAGAGAATCGGAGCGCTGAGCACGGTGAGAACGGTTAGCAGACAGAGAGAGAGAGAGAGAGAGAGAGAGAGATGCAGCTGAGAGAAGAGGCAACAAACGGCGACAACATGTGGTTTTAGCAATCGAGCGTTGCCAGCTCTGTTGCAAGGGCAGTGGTGGGGTTGGGGGCACGTTACGTTTATTAAGATTTTATTGAATTAATAAGCAAATTGCATGCGACACGCTGCTGGCGCCATCTGTCGTTCAAATTGCATGCAATTTGCATATTTACCGTACGACGATATCATTGTTCTCATCTGCCGGGGTTATTCCCAATGATTTCACTTAGGCCAAATTAATGAGATGTGCAACGTGAAATGACTGAATATATTTTTCCATTTAAAAATATGATTTTTTTACGTCGCCGTGCGCTGAAAGACATTTTATTTTGGCAGTTTCTCTCGTCTCCCCTCTCCCTCTCTCTCTCTCTCTCTCTCTATCTATCTGCCTCTATCTCTCTGTCTCTTTTGCTTGTTGCTCTGTGTTTGACCCACATTCGATAGCAGGCTGCGAACGGAAGTTTTTCCTCTTGTTGTTCTCCAAGATTTTACGGCGTTTTTTTTCCAAATGAAGAAAATGCTGCTCGGCTCTTCTGCATTTTCTTCATTTTTTTTTTTAAATATATATATATTTTTTGGGTTTTCTGTTATTTATGATTTGAAATGCGTGCGCTCGTTATTTATTTTATAATTTTTGATTCATTTTTATTGGGGCGTCTGGGGGGACATTGTGTCATTCCTCGATTGTTTTAAATAGACTTCGGCAAGTGATTTATCGCATTAGCCATAAAGAGGCGAATGTATCATAACACTCACATTATCTTATTTGAACAGATTTCTTCTTTTACAATTGCTGGCAGAGGGCCGAGCACGCGCCCCATCAACTTGGATGAACCGTGGCACTATGGAACTGGGGGACTTTTAAGAGCCGGCCATAGAATATATTAAATATTTGCATATGTATGTGTTTTTATGATTGTGCAATTACGTTGATAAGATTTATATGGCTGAAGAAGACACTCATGACCACCACCTGTCTGTCGGCCATTTGGGAGCATTGAACATTATGCATACGCATGGTAGACCCGCTTAAATGTAAACATTGACAAATTGTTGTTATTGTTGTTGTTACTATTGTTATTCTTAACTGAAATTGAGCTGGGTAACGAGTAATTACAATAATTTGCCTGCTCCTGCTCAAC